TTCATTCTTGTACGTGATTTTGAAAATTGGGGATTAAAACTTGTTAATTGAAAAAATTTCAGATTTTGAGGCTCTAATTGCGATTTAGTCTTTAGAACAATTTCCTTAAGTGAAAGACTCAAATTGAGTCCAAAAATTTAGACTCAAATGAATTAACACGTGCTGTATCTTTCCGATTCTAATTAGGACTTTGAAAGATTACATTATGATACCTCATTATGGTATATAGGGCAGATTAGTATAGGGTAGATTAGTATAGGGTAGATTGGCATAGGGTAGATTGGTATGTAGGATATAATGGCATAGGGTAGAATGGTATAGGGTAGTTTGGAATAGGGTAGATTGTCCTGCCACCGCTACTTATATATCTTTGTAGTTTACACACGCGCGAAGGGTGATAAATTAAAAAAAAAATTATTTTAACAAGAAATTTTTTTAAATTGGCCTTAAAGTGCAATCGGAGCTTAAGAAACTTCGCCCCGATATACAAGCAGTCTTGCCTTAGTTTCATTATAGAGCTCGGTAGCCCTTTGCATAATGAAGATTTAATAACTGTTTTGTTTTCATACACATTCGAACACCATATTAACAAACCAGACTGCCTGTTGCAAGACCTGAATGTTTTGGCTGCTTTTTAAGTTCATTAAAAAAAAAATTTGGCTAAAATGTTGATAAAACAATAAAAAAAAAGTCGAATCCCCTTTCCCCCATCTTAATGTAAACTACAAGGCGATGTAATTAGCGTCTTATATCCTAATAATAAGAGAAAAGACTTCTCTAAAATCAATTTGGAACACAATAATCTGCCGTTTACTCGCGTTACAAGAACTCAATTTATTGCCTGTTAATTGTACCAGATTAGTTTGCCCAACTATAATTTTCCGACTATACAAACAATTTTAAATTAGTATAGTTTTTTTTCTGTGTGGTGTTATAGTAAGATCTGCAAATAAACCAAAACAAAAAGTTTTATTCGACCGCAAAATTCAAATAGGCATTGGAAAAATGTTTCTGTAAAAAATGACTAGATAACGAAAAAAAAATTGTGAAATTTTAAGAAATTTATTTTTATGAGGAAATTTTTGGAATTTTTGGATTCCAAAATGGCGCTAAAAAAATTCATGTAATAACTTTGCTCGAGTGAAAATAAGTTCTCACGGCTTGAATTGAGCTTAAATAAGCTATTTTAAGCCTGCAAACTTTATGTTGACACACCTTTTTCACTCGAAAAAAAGACCGAAAATGAAAAACTTCAAACCCGTTTTTCTCGATACTCAGAAATTTTTTCGAAACTTTTTTATGTCGTTCGAATAAAGACTGAAAAGGTTTTAATATAAATTATTACTCAACCCGCTCCGATGATTAATTGTGGTTTCTGATTTTACGTGGAAAACAAACAAAAGAACAAAACTAAAAGACACCCGAATACAAAGTTTCTCCCCGGTTTTCAAATGGTCGGAGCAAAAAAGAAAAAATTAAAACACACTCGGATACAGAGATCCTCTCCAATTTTCAAATGGTCGCAACAATAATTACAAAGAAACAGTCTAGCAAGCAGTTGAAATATCCTTACTGATTGAAAAGGTGACTTAAGTCAATTAACGTTCCTCACGTCAAACTGACTTCCGAAGGAGGAGTTTAATTTGATCTGTTAATTGCGGAACAGTGCTGAAATTGAATTGGTTTTAGCTTTAATGCTGAAAAATATCACCAGGGAGTTAAACAGAAACTAGATGAGAAAAACTCGCCCGACGCTTTTGTTTCCTTCCTCGCCCGAGCTTCAAGTTTCCTTTTATTACCAGTTAGCTTCTAGTTACCTAATAATTGAAAGGCGGCGACAATTTATAACAGAACCCATTAGTATTAAGCACAATAATTACTACGTTTTCGTAAGCTCTGATTTTTATTGTTACGCCTTCCAAAGAAAGTGACAGAGTGTTTGTGCTCGGTTTTTATATTGAGACTAAATTTAATTGTTTTATCAACCATTTTTGACGGCATTTGTAAAACCGTCTGAAAGATATTGAGTTTTGAACTCAAAATGTACAAAACTACTCGTATAAGGGCGAAGCCATGAATATTCCGACTGCCTTTTAAGATCTATGGAGCAGCATTATGATTAAAATAAAAGTAGCAAAACAAAAGGGAAAAAAATTTAAATTGAGTTTTTTTTTTGTGAAAATCATCCACCCACACAGCATATTAAACACAAAGTGATAGATCTCGCTCCTAGAAACAAATCAATTACAGCAAATAAGCTTCCCTCAACCAATTTGTATCATATTCTAAGACGGTTTAAATCTCCGCCTACGCGTTGATAGCGCGAAATATATCGCGCTTTGATTGTCCCAAATTGGCCATCTTTAAAACACAATAATTTTACAAAAAATGATCACAGATAGAATTTTTTTTCAAAATTAAGCTCAGGACAACAATGCCGTTTGAATGATATTAACATAATTCCGTCAAAATTGGCTAATTAAAAAGTCGAAATTTGTCTGAAGAAAAAACTATCCCGAGCAAAAATGTTCCGTTATTTTCGTTAGGAAAGTCGGAGCAAAAAGAAGTTGTCCCTGTGAATGTGTTTTGTAAAATATACGGGTTTGAAACTTACCAAATTTGGATTTACTATTGCGCTATTACTTTTTACCACTTTGTAACATCCTGAGTTCAAATATAAAAAGATACCTTACATCCGATTGTTTTCTGTAAAGTTTTGAGGGTTAGATAATTGCCAAATTGACCATGTTGTGGACTAAATTATTTGCGCTTTGAAGGAATTATATTGCTGAGAGCGTGACGCGAATTATTTTTGCGCGGATAATTATTCCGCACAACAAAATCATTCGAATTTGAATTGAGGCTAGCAAATCGGGTCGGTCCTATTGATTTCGTACGACTCAACATTTCACACTTTAATATTATCTAAAATTTCTAGGTTTTCAATATTTTCTTTTGCAAAAACCGTTCGATAAGAATTAAGGGACAGTCGGAACATTCAGGGCTTTGCCCTGATATACGAGCAGTCTTGTTCATTTAAATCATTGTGGCGATTTAAATCATTGTGGCCAGTGCAATCAGTCCCAATTGAAATGAAGTATTTCAAGAGTTCAAAGATCTTGTACTAACTGAGAAATCTATCTGTATTTGACCTTGCATGGAAGATTTAACTACAAAAACAAACAAGACCTGCTCGTATCAGGGCGAAGTCCTGAATGTTCCGACTGCCTTTTAAGGTTTATGGAGCAGTAATAAAATGAAAAAAATAAATTTAATTAAAAAAATGGAATTTTTCTTTTCTAAAATTTGATTTTTTTTTGAAAATCATCCACCCACACGCCATATAAAGCAAAAAAGGATAAATTTTGCTCCTTGTAACAAATCAATTATGGCAAGGCAGCTTCTTTCAACCAATTTGGAACGATTTCTAAGACAGATTAAATCTCCGCTTACGCATTAATAGCGCGAAATATATCGCGCGTTAATTGTCCCAAATTGGTCAAAATGGCAATCTTTAAACCCCCATAACTTTACGCAAACTGATCACAGGTGAAATATCTTTTCAAATTTAAGCTCAGGACATCAATACCTTTTGAATGATATAAAAAAATTCCGTCAAACATGGCTAGTTTAAAAGTCGAAATTTGTCTGAAGAAAAAAAAACCCACCCCGAGCACAAATATTCCGTTACTTTCGTATCGAAAGTCGAAACAAAAAATGAAAAATTGTCAAATGCTTTTTGAAAATTTATGGATTTTAGTTTTAAAACTACTACCGATATATTAGAGGGCAGTTGGAACATTCGGGCCGTTGACCTGAAACGAGCAGTCCTGTTCGGGTTTAGTGGCTACTTAATTTTTACAACCCCTTTACTTGCATTTTTATCTATTAAAATATTTAGACAGAAAACACCATTTCACGCGCAAATCACTCCCGCGCAATCTAAGAGGAACATAGCTGAGCAGAACAGAGCTGTGCAACGTTCGCTACTTGTTAATGATGCCCAGAATGTTCTGACTGCCCTTTAAAGCTGAAAAAAAATTTTGCTTCAAAAAAGTTGATTAAATATATTGAAAAAGTTGATCAAAAAAGTTGATTAAAGGTAGATTTTTTTCTTTGACTTTTTTTTACAGGGGCGGTGATACTCAAAATAAAAAACTATCTGAGAATATTGCACAAATTTGAATTAAAAGAAATTCAGAACGTATTTGGACACATAATTGTGAAACTTATGTAGAGAAACGGCAGACAAAAAAAAAACAGAAAAAAAGAACCTGTCGAAATCGAAGAAAGAACTGTTTCGTTTTGGCCGGATTAATTTTATTAGCATGAACTTTGTTTTGTAATTTCACCCAATTTTGTGATAAAAACTTTCAGTTTCATCTCTCGTTCCTTACGGGTCAGTTAGGGGAGATAATACCGATAGAATCTTTCTTCGCTTATTACCAATTGTTGCTCAACTGATTCACACGAATTGTGGCTCATTATTAGTTGTTTAATTCGAAAGCAGGAGTCAATTACTACCAAATTGCTGCCCATAATTTGAAGAGAAAAATAAGAATTAGACCCGAAATGCATTGCCCACAAGCTACAATTAGAAAAAAGGAAGCCATTTTATTTTCTCTCTTTTTTTAGCCCGTTGGTTCAAATGTCGTATAATTGACTAAAAATGCACAAAACATTACCGCAATTTCTTTTTTAATCATCAAAGTTAGATTTAGCTGAATAAACAAATTAAATCTTTATTGCGAAAAAGCATTAAAGCGATTGTCTTTCCTCTGTGACATGAACAAATATAGATAAAAAGCAGCGGCTTCACTGGACTTCTTTTAGTAGCTACCACTAAAAAAAGTGAGAATTTTTATTTTCATTATATTTACCAACAAAGCAAATTTACCGAAAAGTCAGAGGAGTTTCTTTACATTTCAAGTACTTCGACTATTTTTGTTCCGACTTTCGAAGAAAAAGGCAGATTATTTATGATTGGGGTGGGTTTTTTTTGTTCAAAACAATTGTGATGTTTTTTTAGTACCAGACGTTTTTACTTAAGTGTGAGTCTAATAAAAAAAATTCAATTTCATAATATTCATCGAAACTATATGCCAAAAATTAATTGGGCCACTTAAACAAACAGACGGACCATTCAGGGCTTCGCCTTGCTACGAGCAGTCTTGAATTCTATTTCTGTGATTAATATCGTTTCATAATTCAAGCAAACACACGAATAAATGAATGATTCTTTCGAAACAGAAACTGTATTACGCTATACAGCTGTAATAACTTCAATTTGGTCCATTTACCAGACTTCAAGAAATTTTTACCGGCTTGCTGCCAAAATTGAAAACGGAAAAGCGAAAGACTTTGATATATTTTACATACCTTTGTTACTACTGTTCATATCTACAGGTAAGAATTAATAATTTACTAGGAACTTAACTAGCTTGAATAAATCATAATCAGGTATCTTTTTTTTCTGGATTTTAGAAAAAACACACCAAAAGAGTCAACTTTTTGGTACTATTTTACGACATTAACATCTGTCCGTTTGAACTTAAAAACGTCGATGGTTTCGCCTTTATAAAAATGAAAGAAAACGCGCGTCAAAAAACGCGACATTTTTCAAATCTTCCAGAAAATGCTCAATTTTAAAATGTTTAAAATTTAGTGCAATTTTGGGGCCTGAATTTTCGCTAACAAGACGGTTGTTTACTGCTTAATGTTTGATCGTATTTTGAAAACTGCGTTTTTTTCAATCTGCCTTCCGTCGTGAAAACTCTCGATTCGTTCATATAAATTTTTTAAAATGTTGTCTAAATTTAAGTTGTAATCTGCAGCTCTGTTAGTACTTCATTTCGCTGGTGTGAAAAGAAACTTGGCCGAAGAAGATCAAGATTGCTACACGGCACTGGCCATGTTTATCTTCTCCATACTAGGTGGCTGCTATTGCCAAATTGCAATCAACTGGCTCGAAATAACAGGTGAGATTGAAAATACGGTACCTCCGAGAAACTTTTGGTTTTGATATGAAGTGCAGGTGTTTCAAAATCAGTTTTTTAAGAATTCTCTCTCATTTCACCAATATTTTGTTTATTGAAGCTATTCGTTTTGCAATAAACAGCAAAAATTTGCTGACGTCTAATGATATATTACCTTAGATTGGATTGTATTTTGTGCACGCATGTTTTAGCGGTTTTATCGAATTTTCTCTGCATTTTGTGCTGAACAAGCTTTTAAAGGTAAAAAATACATACAATTTTTTCCTCAAATTCAGTTGACTTTGGACAAAAAATGACGAAGACAAACAGGGTTTGGAGTGGTAACTTCCCAGATGGCATAATTCCCAAATGGCACAAAAATGGAAACTTTTTCCCAAATGGCATAAATTTCAAGTTTTTATTGTACTTTAAACGTTTTCTATCAGTTACTAATTTTAACATTTTGTCAGGAACAAAAGCATGTGAACAAGATTTGGATATAACTGCTTTCAAACAAATTTACGCAACAAATTTGTCAAAAAAATTGACCACAAAAAGCTTATTAATAACCGCAAGCTTATGCTCCTTGCTTTTGATTAAAAAATTCTACGACTTTTCCAAGAGAAAATGTCAATCAACATTTGAATTGACAATTTGATTGATTTTTTCACATTGTTCACGAAAAAATTGATCTCGCTTTTTTCAATGCAACTGTTGCATGAAATTTATGCCATTTTGGAAATTTTTCATTTTTATGCCATTTGGGAACTATGCCATTTGAGACGTAATCGTTTGAAATGACAGACAGAGGCGAAGCTTCGCTTCGCAAACACAAGCGAGAACGCGGTAAAAAGTGAAATAAGAAAAATAGAGAGCCTCGAATTAGTAAAAATTCACCTAAGAGTCGGATTCGATCTGCGACTTAGAGACTATGCGTGAGTCTCACGCACTAACCACTGAGCCACGTACACTTAATACATACCAAACACTAACCACAATTGAAGTAGAAAACAAATGCTATGAAATATCCAGTGCTAGATCTTGATTATAGCAAAAGTGATCTCAAATAGTTGAGCACTTTCCACTTTCAATGAACTGTTTAAGATTGATTTAAGAAATAGGTTAGAAAAAAGAAGGTTCGTACTAATACACTACGCTGACCGCTAGAGTAATCAGCATTTTCATGGAGCTATTTCTTTTTCAAAGTATTCAACTAACAAAAACTTCTTTAAAACGGGCCAGTTCATTTGGTTCAAAACTAGGGCGGGAAACAGGCTCAATTTAGTTATTCTTACATCATTGGTTAAAAATTGCACCATAATAAATTGCACCATAAAAGTTCCGATGAAGTTCCAAACACTATGTCTTTCTCATTTTTTGTCCAAAGTCAACAGAATTTGAGAAAAACGACTCTGAAAACGTTGTTTTAGTTCCTTTTAATCGCTTTATTTTAAATGGGTACTGTAGAAACTTGTTCAGCACAAAATGCAGTAAAAACTTGATAAATTGCAAGAACATTCGCGAACAAAACACAGTCCAATCTAATTAATAAATCATCCAAATTCGGCAAATTCTTGCGGTCTATTGCAAAAAGAATGGCTTCATTAAACAAAATATTAGTGAATTGAGAGAAATCATAAAGAACGTGTTTTCAAAACACCCTCTATGAAAATAATGCACAAAGAGTCGAAAACAGACGATGTTGTCACGCAAACATACAGATGGCAAGCTTTAATCACCAAAGTTCGCAAGCGTAAATATCGAACAGATTAAATTCAAATGAAGATACTCACTGCTGCTTCAACTCAAATATTTCACAGAAACCAGTATGTCGTCTAAAATCAAACCTACAATTTCTTTAAATTAGATTTCACATGTCGCTGAAGTTTATTTGGCTAAATACAACTCGAAACAAACACTAACCGCATCTAAAACACAAAATTTCAAATTAGTGTTTCGTGGTGGCGATAGTTTACTTGATCTATTTACGGTTTGGTTTAAATAGAAATTTCTGCAAAAAAATCCATCATTATGAAAGAAAATCGATTATTGGAGACTTCGAATCCATTCACAAGGACAGTCGTTAAGTAACTTCCACACACACATACACACGCACGCACACACACACACACACGCACGCACACACACACACACACACACCAAAATACTTTTCCACGATGAAACTTGATTTAAAAAGAAAATTGCAGAAATTTAGTTATGACTGGAAACAAGTGTTTTGATTTCAGTCAACGATCGGCAACTCGCCACTTCAACCAATCACAAAAAAGTGCTCGGTATATTTTTATCCATCAGTTTCGTCGAACTAGTAGTCTGTATTATGATGAACAAGACTTCTCTCAACTCCAGTGAAAATTCATCATCAGGCGAATGTCACTTTTCCGACCTAAGCAAATCGACAGCTGGGTTGTTCATCAAACAACTCATACTCAGCTCCGGCGCAGCTGTAATTTTCCTATTTTCAGTTCTGCTAGCCCCCAATAAAGCTTACCAAATGTGGAAAAACAACACGTTTCTCTTACAAACCAGAGGGAAAATTGACATCATATCAAATTTCGGAGATTTGATGAGAGAGAACATGATTGGCTTATGCATCTGCATCCTCTACATAATTCGTTTTCGATTGAGAGTAGCAGGAAACGCACTGGATGAAGGAAAAGTTTTTGACAACAATATTTTGGTGCTCTGGATTATTCAGTTTATTGCCGTGTCTTTGTATCGCTTTTAACTAGTAATAAACTAATAATAAACTATTATTATGTAGATAAAGAGCAATATCGGTTTTGAACTACAGCAGTAGCGTGACAAGATAGAACCACTTGCCTCTGAATTCTGAGGAGTGCGGTCTGTATTTAGACAACCGCGTATTCAGACACTGTATTGACCAATCAGAATCGAGACAAGGAAGAATTGAATTTGATATCTTCATTTGTCTCGATTCTGATTGGTTAGTACGCGGTTGTCTAAATACTGCTACGTAAGCGATTTCTGATTTAATACCATTTTATATCATCAATTTTCGGCTTGAACCCTTATTTTTTAGGCTTCTTTGGCTCCCCAAAAACACATTTTTTTTGGTCAAACTATTCCAAAAAGTGATATTTCTAGTCAAAATTGCCGTCAGCTCAAACTTTTTTTAAAGAGAGTGGTTCAAAAGAGCATAAAAAATCTTTAAATGACAGCCCTAAAGCTAGCAAACAGACCATTGGAAAAGAGTCATGAATGCAAAGAAACAGAAAAAAAACAGACAGAAATATAAATGGCCTTAAAGAAAACTTCAAAGGCCTTTGAATTTTGAGAAAAAACTTTTATAAACAGCTTTTTTTTTGTTAAAATTAACTTATTTTCAGAAAACTGGACCAATAGGTAAAATTTTATCCAGCTGGGAAATCCGAAAACTAACATCCACTTTCAAAACTAAAGTCGATCACGTTTTTTGTGACATTTACACTTTTGCTGTTCGGTAGGGGAGCTTGACTTCCTTTTAACAACGGAAATGAAGTGATGTTGTGATGTTGAAAAGAAATAGAAAGTCATAAAGCGAAAAACCACACTTAAGCGTGAACAAATTTTTTCCAAAAAAAAATCACCAAGACCTATATATGAGTAATTAGTACGTTTATGATTCTATGATTCCTTAAACTATCATTTTTTTCGGAAAACCCGCTAAAAATCCTGCCAAAGCTACAGTGCAAAAGGTGTGCATTAAGTAATCCGCGTTAATTGGCAGGAAACAATTTCAAATCATGAATTGATAGGCAGATGAAGCGAGAGACTATGTACAGAGAAATTCACGTAAAAATCAAACTCAAAACTTAAGTAGGGTGATATACTATAATGCAGCCCCTTTAGTCGGTTTTTGCGAAAAAAATTAAACTGGACGACTAATTCCATTATTCAGACTACAACACCGCAGGGCAATGGAAAGCGAAAGAAAATCAACGATTTGAATAGTAATTTAGCTACAACTCTTCCGATTTCCAAAGAAAGTGACGAATAATTGTGCTGGGAGTGTTTTTTTCGCCAGACAAAATTCGACTTTTTAACAAGAATTTTTGGACGGAATTGTTTTCATATCAACCGAAAAGTTTCGTCGTGCTGAGCTCAAATTTAACACAGACGCGAAGCAGAATTTTGCACCACAAGTCATAAAAAAAAGTCGCGCAAAAAACCTCGAAAGTTTCGACCAGTAATAATAAACAAACTAAAAAACTGAAAATTGATTTTCAAAAACAATTTGCTTTTTCAAAAATATTGACCAATTTTCATGTTTAAATTTTCTCAATTTGTTATGGAGGGTTTAAGAGGGTGATTCAGACCTGCAGAAATCTCTGGTTCATAATAACAAAAATTGAAAGAAGAAAACTATTGGGAAAAAAAAGCCGACGGAATTGAAGCCGACCGATCTCGGTATCCCAAACTGATATACTATTAAATAATGGGACAGTGATTTTGATGAATAAATTTAACTAAACAAAGGTTACTTAAGAAAAAAAACAGGAAAAAAACTTCAGACTTAGTTGGTCTTTAATTCTTAAATGAATTGGCTAAATGAAAAAAGATAATGGGTTAGAATCTAGTGAGAAACATTTTTTTAATCAAATATGGAAAAATTCAAAAAAACTGATAACAAAAAAGTGCAAAAACTTTTTTATCTGCACCGAAAAGAATGCTATAACTACAATCAATTGTACAGCCAAAAATAACAAAAATAAAAAATAATCAAAAAATTTTTGAAAACTTTTTCAAAAAATTTTTGAAAAGTTTTTTGATTATTTTTTTTTACTTTACTTAAAAAGTTTACTCTAGGTTGATTAAAAATTTCCACAACTTCATTCAAAGAACTCAATGACTCCCATGTTACTCTCAGTCACTCCCAAAGAAAATTGTTCGAAAAAAAGCATTAAAAGAGTAAGCAGACAGAATTGAAGCCGACCAATCTCAGCGCCAAAAATGTACCAAAACATTCGGAATCGTTCAAAAAATCATTCGCAACTCTTAACGGAACGCAACTAAATGCCTCGTTTTAACTGCATGGAACTAATACAGTTAGTAGGTTATTAAACAACCGTGCATTTTTACCATCATTCTGTGCCTAAAATTATTTACGGAAAAGTGTAGTACATGATTGCAAAACGCTTGCTTATCGCAGAGGTAAATTATACATAACTTGAGGCCAGCTAAAGCTGGAAATACCTGTTTGATAAATTTTGAAATTTTTGTATTGATGCGGAAGGAGAAGGGTCAAAAACAGATCTATCGCAAAGAAAAGTAAATCCCAATTTATTGACTTCAAAATATGTTAATTTCATCAATTACTTCATTTTTCTTAAAAATTGAAGTGATGACAAGAGCGTGTTAGATTGAAAAAGTCTTAAAATGTTGAGCATTAGATTTGGGTGGGTTGTTTTTGAATGAAGTCAAAAATTTTCAAAAAACGAGAGAAAAAAATCAAAAAAAGGACTTTTCCGAGGGTCGTAACTTTTTGCGTCAAAAAAATCAAGCGTAACCGCTTATACAGTGGAGCTTCCCAACCCATTCTTTACACTGAAACCAATATCTCAGAATCGAGAATGTAGTTTTTAAGAAAAAGTTTCAAAAAACAGTCAAAATTGGACTTTTCCGAGGGTCATAACTTTTAGTGTAAAACAATTTGGGCGTAACCGCTTTAAGCAGAACTTCCCACAACCCGTTCTACCTCTTGGAACCAAAATTTCATACTTGGGACTGCATTTTTCAAGAAAACTCAAAAGTTTCAAAAAACGGTCAAAAAAGCAAAAATTTGACTTTTTTGAGGGCCATAACTTTTTGTGTAAAAATTGTTGGGCGTAGTCGCTTATGCAGGAGAGCTTCATATAATCTGTTCTATCCGTTGAACCCAAAATCTCAGATTTGAACGGGCAGTTTTTGAGAAAATGTAAAAATTTCAAAAATTAGGGTCAAAAATTTCCCCCACACACTTTTTCAAAGGCTGTAGGAAGTGGGGTAGGGTAAAAAGAGACTAGAGAATTATGCAGACACGTAGTGTGCTACTTTTTAGAAAATCGTTAGAGTAGTTTTTGAGAAAAACGAAAGTTTTCCAAAGCGTCTAAAAATTTCAAAAACAACACGATTCCAATGATTTTTTCATAATAACAATTTTTATCAAACAGGAACTGTGTGATTATTTTTCGTAAAATTGAAGGAATTTTTTAAAGTTCCAATTTGTGATAACCAAGGCGCGATATATTTCGCGGTATTAACGAGTCAGCGGAGGTTTATTCCGTCTTTGAAATAGTTCTGAATTTCATTGAGGCATGCTATTTGGTCTATTTTATACTATGCTATCAGCGGAATTCATTGCTAAGTACTTTACATAGCGTATGAAGTATAGTTTTCAAATTTTTTTTTTTACTTTTTCCGAAAACTTCATTGTTTTTTTTAAGGAACACTACTCTATTGACCTTGAAAGGTAGTCAAAACATTCAATTCTTCGACCTGATAAGAGCAGTCTTGTTGTACCTTCATGAGTCCGAACACTCTCGTAGAAGCAAACTATGGCGTATTTCTCCAGTGACACAAAAAACCATGTCAAAAAAGGATACTTTTTCAGTAATACAAAAAAAAACAATGTCAGCTAAAGTCTTATCATTTTAGTTCCGATTCTTCAAAGATCCTTCAAAGCGACAAATTTCTCTGAATAATTTCGATTTTCAGACCAAAGTTGAATTCACTTGCAGACACTCATTCCTTCATTCCCAAAACTGATTTTGAACAAAATTTAGACTAAATCAGAAACGTCTGATTTATAATTGGAGCTTACTGATACTCATGAAAATGGTAGAAAATATTATTTAACACAGGTGCGAAACTGCAATTTTTGAACACATCAGCTAAAATAAAAAAATAAAGCTTAGGAATCAAAAACGCTTACGGCATTCGAACTCCGACGTCCAGCTTGCGCATCTAATGTTTTGACCTTAAGCACTTACTTTTTCCCAACTATCAGCTGCTATTAAAGTGGATAAAACGAAGAAGGATAGAAAAAAAGGAGCATTACAGTACGCTGAGCTCTAATTTTTTCGAGATAGGTTGGAAAAGAAAGAGACAGACATTATAACACTACGATCACGATCTCAAGATCGCAAGTGTAATTAAGAATGTATTTATAGGAAACCTTTTTTGCAATATTTACTATGATGGTAACATTCGGATAACTGCACAGCAGTCGGACCCTACTTGCCTTTTGAAATGTACACTAGTTTATGGAGTAGCTATGGTTTTACTCCTGGTCCAAAATATGCGAAATATCATTTCTCAAATTAGATCACATTAGCGTCATTTCTTTGCTAATCCTTGTTAATCAACTTACGGTTATCGATAGTTTTCATTATCTGATAACCGCAAGAGCAAATTGCCTTAATTTAAGAGCTTTAATCTGCAAGGCCATATTGAATTTTTTACAAAAAAAAATCAGCTTTAATTTAAAAAAGTTAGGCCTCCAAATTTACAGAACTAACAAACTATTTGCTCAAAATTACAAACTATCTCTGAAACTTGTTGCTTATATTTCAACTCTTTTTTGATTGAAAGTTCATCTGACAGCTCTTTTGCACCAACTGAACGGCTTACTAAAAAAATAAATTATAAAAAAATGAATTTGCCTTCCTCAAATCGTATAAAGGAAGGAGGGGCAATTGGTTCTTTATTTATTAACCTCAGCTGTAAATAAGGCGTCAAATTAGACTGTTTTTATTTTACTGTCTAGATTGGCTTGACATTAAATAAATTTTTGTTTGCCTTAAAGACTAGACGATGAGCAGAATTGCTTGCTTAAAACTAAAGAAATTAAAAAAAAATTCCAATTAAAGGAAACATATTCGACATTTGCATTGAATTAAAAATTCCTGTGATGCGATTTTGTTGAAAAAACGGGTATTATTGGACATTTGACAGAGCAATTTTTATTATAGTTTCGACTCAGTAAATAAAATTAACTTAGATGAAGACTCATTAAGGCAACATGACTGAAAATTTTCCATAAATGAAGACTTCGTGTTTTATTTTCATTTCTTGCAAGTCGAAATACTTCCATCCTTTACATGTTTAAAAAAAAAGAGCCACATTCAAATAACTCGAGATTGGCGGCATGTTATAAATTTGAAATAAGGGCCCAAAGAACCCTTTTGTAAAATTTTACAAATAGCTAAGAACAAAATCTACAGAGGCGATTTCGCATACACAATCAAAAATATGACCGATAATGCTAATGGGAAAAACTGAATGAGTAAAACTTTGAGTGTAGAAAAAAATTTCTCAAGTGGCGAACGCCAATTATGAGTCTACATAATTACTAAGTGACACAAGCCAGTTATGACGCATAAACAGTACCAGTCAATTTGAAAATCATAAAAAATTTACCGACTAACATGCCTCAATTTAAAGAGCGGACGCATTTTAAGTAGAAAAGGAAAAATTTTATTAAAAACATCCGACCCTGCCCAGGTTCAAACTCTCTTTTTTTGCTGCGGGTCTTCTTCCCTACCTCTACGCTACATACACATGATATCTTGAAGCTAAACTGCTATTTGTAATATAATAGTCTGTGTTAATATCCTTAGCAATGGATGTACTTAATAGCTGGTTATTGATCAAAATGAACACTAATATTTGCGACTAAGTTTGGAAAAAAGAGTTCATATTATCACACAAGCTTTGCTAGTGTAAACATTCAGCTAGATGTTAATAGGAACATAATTCTACAAAAAAGTTCCGACTTCAGATTGAGATAGAAATTTATGAACCGTCGGATATCCAAAATTTCGTTTTAAGCTGTTAATTTCATCTGCCTGCGTACTGTTGTAAAAAGTACAGTCAAGAATCTGCAAAAGCATTTAATCAGACACCAGTTTCCCAGAGAACTGTTTATTCGGAAAAAAGCTAGTTCTGAATAAAATTTAAAATTTGCGAGATTATCTATCTTCATTTGCAATGAAACCTTGACACTTCGAAACTTTGCCAAAACTTTTATTTTCTCTGGGACATGCAAGTCTGAAAAGCATTGCCAATCGAACGTGAATCCTGCCAAGCACAACGAACCAATCAAGCTGTTGACAATTTTTAAGGACTTTTTTTTGTTGTTGGAAATCTTCGTTCGATTTTAGCGCCAAAAATCTTTTCAAATACGTTCAAGAAGTATCGAGAAAAACAAAATCTGACTATTTTTGCTTCACAAACCAAAAGTCAAGTAATTGGAAGACCTGAACTCCCTCACAACCAGCGTGACAATGGAGCTTAACTTTTACTGTTTTAGTTTTAGAAACAAATTAGGAGCTTAATTTCATTTCAGTACCATATCTAATAGAAAAGTAAGTATTTATAATCAATCTCTTTATATCTAGGAAAATGACAAAATACAAAATATCGAGAATTAAAACGCGCGAAAAGTTTTTTCATCAAAAAAATTGTAAAGAAAACAGTTTAAAACTTTTTCTTGAAATTATACAGAAAACCATTTTCAAAAATTTTTAATGAATAGCATGGAAAAAAAACAAAAAATAGCAAAATAAAATTGGCAAAACTTCTCGGAACTACTCAGTAAATTGCTCGAAACCAGAATCGTTTTTAATGGGAGTAGAAAATGCCCAAAATTTAGACAAATTTGGTCTTGCGGCAACTAAGCCTGCAAAAAAAACAGTCCCTAAAGATATTTCCACGCGCGGACAATTTTTCGCTTACAAAAAACAGATCCTAGTCGGATGCGAACCATTGACCATTGTCTTTATAGCAGGTTCGCTGCGCGAATCAACGTCTGCTTTTGATTTTATTTTAGCCATAGGTAAGATGCTTCAAGTGATTCTGTTTAACTAATTGTTACCCCAAAAAAGTATATATTCCAGCTTGATAACGCTTGGTAATCGCAAGCGTAAAAATGCTTTCGGCGTTGAAAATAATACATTTACTAAAAAGTTTCAATTTCTTGTCGAGTTAATAACGCGAGCAAAAAATCAAAAATCTGTTGTTTAAACTATGCAAAACTTATTTTTATCCAAGAAGAATTAGTTTTTGAAGTTTGATTTAGCGCTTTCTCAGCACTAACAAACCAAATATATTGTTTTTATATTCATTTTTATTCAAACAAAAAAAATCTGATCTTTAATTTTTTGTTACTCCTTTCTTCTAGACAACATTAGTCAATTAAGGCCTGTATTAAGCTCTAAACTTTTTAGTGCCTCTCTCTACATCCTCTGCACAATGAGAAACAACAAACTTGGAAAAAAAGATATTTTCGCTTTATAGAAACAAACCTGATCGGAACTTCCTGCACAGAAACCGGCTACTCTTGCCTCTCATATCATTGTCAGCAAATAATGTTTCTTCCTTTTAGGGAGCAGATTCAAATGTTTCCTGTTGAAATTTTGAAAACAAGCTATTGATACTATATCTTATATTACTTATTTACAAAACGATATGATAAGATACTCGCCGCAAAAAATTGCCACGGTTATATTTATATCTTATACGCTTCACAAGCAAGTTTCTTTAGCTAAAGAATCAAAAATTTACCACAAAAGTTTGCTTTAAAATAGTGCGGGAAGCAAACGATGATGAATACTGCATTACCTACATTTGTAAATTTTGCTAGATTGGATTGTTGGGCTACTTATTTGAAAACAAAGCTTCCAAAATTCAAACAGTTACAAAAGTTTTGTTTCACTTTTGAGTTCAACCTTCGAATTAATAGCAAATTGCGCAAAAACTTTTCAGTCAACGAACCCCAATGACTTTAACTAACTTGAAACTTTTTATATTGACGGCGTAAGTCAATTCGGTTAATTAACCTAAAAAACACTGTTTTGACCGATTAAGCTGCTCCAAGTCACCAATATCTCTATCAGTTAAGCATTGTCTTTTATTTATATTTAGTAGCTAAACGGTTGGATAGACAAAATTAATCAAAACGAGCTCTACCAATTTTAACAAACTTTGCATACAAGTTAGAATTTTCAGGCACTCACTGAGAAAAAATTGAAAAGTCTGTCAGAAAAACCAGCTTTTGCATACAAAAATTTCTGAATTAGGACATTTGCTCTTTTTAATTAACTCTGCCTATGCGAACTTTTTGCAACCATCTGTAAACTACATATATTCATTCGAATGCACACGACAAGTCCTGTATGAATTGGGTAAAAATCTGGAGGAGGTTTTCTATTGTCGGATGGTGAAGATGGTCTTCGTCGTCTGTCTTTTGATGCCAAACTGTTGGGAAGGGAGTTGGGATGAGGTGGAGGATGTTCTTCACTTTACGCAGAAAAGGCTCGTGGTCGTCACTGACTCCACTAGCTGAAAATAATACACCTAATCAGTAGTGGATTTTTTTTGGGGATGGGGGTGGTAGAGGGGTGATAGACTAAAATTGAGGGGGAAACGCGCGCCGAAATTTTTTAGTCAAATTTTTCCGACAGTAGATAAAAAAAAGGTTTTTTTCTCAAAGATTTGCCGCCCCTGCACCTAATGTCAGTAATTTGTAAACTCAAACACTTAAACACTTCGATACCCTTTCGAGAAATAAACAAAACACAATTGAGAAAGCAGACAAAACACCCGGCCTGAATTATTGAAAATTCATTTTGTTCTTTGACACTAGACAAAAAATCGGGATATATAATTTCGGCATCCTAATTTAACCAAGGGTTTCAAGTAAAAATCCATTTTTTTCGCCGTATTAGTTTTAAATTTATTAATTTGGAAATTAAGTTTTTCTAATTTGGAAGTACAGTACACTGGATTCTTTCCTCGTTTTGCGGCTATTATTATTGTTTGTATTTTAGGATTTTTAATCGTGAATTCTGCTTTCATTCTAACACCCTCACAAAAAGACGCAATCCTTTTGCTCAAAAGTATGATAGATATCTGAGCTGTATACTCTATTCTTACGTACTTGATAAGGCACTAACCCCTTGAGAGCATATTTGTCGAGAAATAATTCCTCTTGTAGCTTGTGTCGTACTGCAAGTTCGAATTACACGATTTCGATTTTTTACTTTTCAAATCGTTCTCAATGCCTCGCAGTTTGCTGAAGCATTTGTGATGAGTAAAATGAAATATATTAAATTTCGGATCTTTGCTGCCTAACAAGTCCAGAAGGACGAATAGTTTGACGTTTTTGGTGAAGTCTTTCACTTCGCTGTCTATGTTCTCGGCGAAGTAGCGGGAGCCATACAACGAGTCTGTGGCAGTCCACTTTTTAATGGCCTCTTCGCCGTCGAAGAATATGAACACGAGGCTGATGTCCAGTTTTTCTAGCTTATCATTGATAGCACATGATTTTTTGTCACCTAAAATAAACAAAAGAAATGCAAGCCCATGTGAACAACCCCCACTCCCCCCAAATAGACGAAGTGAACAGTCTCCCCCTAACATCAAATGACAAATGCAAGTAGTAAGGCCTGCATGTACTATGCTCACATCTGATTGGCTGAAAAATATTACTTATGACCAAGAGAGCGATCCCCTCCCTAATTTGTTTAAGGGGAGAGATTGTTCACTTGGTCTTAAATGTTTGAAGCCACGATAATTTATTTTGAAAAAACTTAGTTCAAAATAAGAAGTAGAGTTTAATAAAACTAAACACGCTGACTTTTATATCTAGTTTTTACAAAACCTTAATTTCCTTTTAAAAATGTCCAATTTTTCTTCTCTCTATATTTTTTCTAAATATACATCCAAACTAATTCCTTGGTTTAAAATCAGCTAGACCGAATTTGAATCAATTCTGTAGATGGTGATTGCACTCACAATCCTTAAACTTGTTTCTCAATGACTTGGTGCAAAGGCGGATCTATGATTTTCTCGAGGGGGGGGGGCTGCATTTTGAAAAACTTTCGAAATTTTTGTCGACCAAATTGATTTTCTGAGCTCTCCTAAATCACTAGAAAGACCTCATTTTGACCAAATTTGCTGCACCGCAGACAAAATTTAGAGAAAAAAAAAACAGGCCAAAAAGGGGCGTTTTTAGGCAATTTCTGAAAAATTTTGACAAAAAAATCGCGTTTTTTCGGCGCGCGCTCCACCCTCAAAATTAGTATATATTGGCGCCAACGGCGCCTTTAGAAAAATTTTAAGGTCCGTCACCAAAAATGGATATCTCAAAATAATACAAAGGATCGGCAGGGGGTCGAACTCCTGTGAGGGGGCGTCCGTCCCTCCTCCTCCCTTAAATCCGCTGATGACTATTTTTGACTAAAGTCATTCATGATCTTCATCGTTGAATCATCACTAACTGATACTTTTCTCCCATTTTTGCCAAATGCAAGTATCTGCTGTATAATATAGTATTTGTACCTTTTGGGCCTGATATGGCTGCTAGATACATCAGAATAGCACATGGTATAGCTGAGTCTATGGCTGCTATGAAGGGACTATTATGGGCGTCCATGATCTTCGAGTCATGATGACAACTCAGCACCACTTTATTATTCGACTCTCTCTTCGTCTCTGCCCAGATGTTAGTCAAGTGTAGAGCCTTACCATCTGGATCTTTGGCCTGTAATGCAACAAACTACCGAAGATAACAGCGCACGGCTCTTTTCCAGTTCCCCCTTTCAAATTCAATTTTGAGAAGCTTAATTAACGTAGTCACAATGCAATGAAATTTGGCATGGTGAAGACATAAAAAATGAAAATCAATATCTCCTTAGTAAAGTTCTTAGGCATTGTTATTCGTCCGAAAACTCCATAACCCGTAGTTGAAATTGTCCGGCTCTTTTCTTACGAAGCAAACATGCTTTCTTAAGACAGTCTGAACCACCAGAGGATTTAGGGGGGGCATGCAGACGCCCCTCCCCCTCAGGGATTCGACCCCCAGCCGACCCAAAGGCTCCCCCTTTGTACTATTTTAAGATATCCTTTTTTGGCTGACTGACCCTAAAATTTTTCGCCTTTGGCGCCAAAATGTACTAATTTTGAAAGGGGAGTGCGCGCTGAAAAAATGCGATTTTTTGGTCAAAAATTTCCAAAAAGTGTCTAAAAACGCCTTTTTTGGCCTGTTTTTTTTTCAAAAATTTGCCCGCGGCGCTGAAAATGTGATCAAACTGGGGTCTTTATAGTGATTTGGGAGAGCTCAAATCCACCCCTCTCTCTCGAGAAAATCCTAAATCCGTCTCTGGTCTGAACTGAACATGGAAAACAAAAACGGTAAATTTTCGTGAAGGTGAGATTCTTCGCACCAAATACGTACCATGACATTAATATAAGAAGAGCATGAAATGTCTGTCAAAACATTCCGGGTTTCAAGTTGTAATTAGTTACGGCCGGTAGAAAACTTGAAATAAATCCCCAAGTTTACATTGCAAAACTGGTGTATAATTTAAAACAGTTTTCCGTGTCGAAATCTAAGCTCCTTGCAAATTAAAGATTAGAACTTTTCCGTCCTTAGGTTTAGTTTGAGGCTGTAAATTGACAAGAGGCTTCCCGGTTACCAGTATGGAATGAACGGCCCGTTTTTGGAATTCTTTCCCGATCACTTTTCTTAACAAGTTTTCAGAAGAAACACCACCAAGAAATTCATTTTCTGATGTTTTCTCTTTCCCGTTACAGCCATATAAGCCGAATTATAAAAATTAGAGCATTTTATTTCGAACTATAAGATCTAAAACGTGCTGGGTAAAATTTCAAAACAGGAACACCATGATTAGAAACTCCATCTAAACTATAACCTATCACTAGTAACATCGCTTACTTGTAACAAAACACATTAAATTACCGTGAAAGATTGCTCGTTCACACTGTAACCACTTTCGTTCAGAGAGTTCTTCATGAACTGTACCACTTCCTTGGTTCCTTTCGAATTAGGGTATCTCTCCTTCATAAAAGGCTTCGCGAACTCCTGGCAAAGAATATTTTTTTATCTCCGCTCATCCCCTCATAGATTTTTTTTCAAATTTCAAAGCAATATTAATTGTGAAGACAAGTTAGAAGGGACAAATTCACCCTTTTGGAATTTGACAACTTGTAATATTGGACAAAATCCATTTTTGACAGACCATTAAATAACTTGGATCTCTAACTATTTCCCCCTTTTGCAAAAGGGGGGGATTCGTTACTAGGTATAAAGCTCTAATTTGCTTAACCGCTGATTTATTTTATTATGGGGTATATTCGCTACTAGGTACCCGAGGGGGGATATAGTTAAAGAGATCCAATATTTTTTTAGGAAGTTCAAACTTTCTTTTTTGGCGACAATATCTCCCCCATGGTTGGTCCTGCACTGAGCAGGCCGGGGGCTAATAAATAAAAAAACAAAAAAAAACAATATCTACCAATTTTTGGGTCACTTTTACAATAAACATTGATGTTTATGTGAGCAGAGGATAAGATAGAAAATATCCCTTGTAAATAGTGGAGTAGCTCATTTGTTCTGCTGATCCCTGAGACAGTGAAATTGTCTCTGTTTCTGCAGCTGCTAACCGGGGTGATATGTGATACATCAGAATACTGACGACAGCACTCATAACTAAGCATGCCATCGTGCTAAACAAAACACAAAACGCGAAGTTTTCAATTCAAAAAGTCAGAACTTTTAGTAAAATTTTTTACATGAAAACGCTTTCAAAAAGTAGTTTTTTGCAGAAAATTTACCGGAAAACGTTCGGCTTGACATAATAATCATAATAATTGTTTCCAAGTGAAGTCATTACATAAACAAAATTACAAATGAAGAAAATCGTTTACAGAGACATCACTTGAGAGTGCCACAATACTAAATTTAGCCTATTTTCAAACGTCTCAGAGCGAAAATCAAATTTGTTTTCTTAAGAAGTTATGTGGTTTTCGAACGTTAATTTTTTATCTATAATTAATCAAGATTTGAAGAGATATTTGAAAAAATTTTCAATATATGAAGAGATTTATTCAAAAAAAAATTTTTTCATGGTGATCTACGTTCATACTATTTAACGAAGAGGTTGCTTTTATGACTGTATCATCCGCATTGTGAAACATGTGAGTAACTTCTTGAGGATTCTTTCTTTTTCTATATCATCTATATGTGAGATCCCTGTGGGACACTAAAATTAATTCCTTCAAGTATTGATTTTTGTCTCGAGTTGTATACTGTAATATTTCTCAATACTCTCAATACTCACCGGGTTTTTTCATGAATAGTTTCATCGGAACATTCGGTTTTGTTGCTTTTTTCTTAGAGAAAATCGGAATTTATTTTGCCTGTTTTCTTTTTCTCATATTCCTGCTAGAAATAATAGTAACAATTATTAAAGCTTTGGAAATTAATAAGTTAACAAATCGTACTATGAGCTTCTGGAAGATAATATTAGGTGCAACGTATAACCTTTTCGTTCTATCAGTTTTTAATTCCATTTTCTCAAACGAAAACTCCACTCTTGAATCATCAGATTCCCGAAACTCAAGACAAAAACAAATACGACAACAAAATCATAATCAAAATATTTACCAAGAAAGCACTGCTTCAATACCTATGGTAGAGCGAAATGAGCCTGCAGTACCCTTAATGTCATGTCACCAGATTCGCGAGACGAACCTGGTTTATACCCAGACCTAAATAACCGAAATGAATATTTAGTACGGACCAATGTAATAGGAACGATCTCTAGCACAACAATCCTTCATCCAACCACCAACAACAACAAAATTTCTGCTTAATCATATCTTGTCCTCATTTCCCAAAGAAATTTTATTCCCGAGTCACAACAGCAATTTTACCATCCGTAGCAATTGATAACAATTTACACTTAATTATCAACGACTTTCACCATAATCCAAATTACGATATTATCGTAAAACAAACCAATCCTAGATACAAAGATATTCTTCACATCTTAAAGTATAAAAACTCAGCCATATTCGAAACTGCTTGTGAAGAAAATATTTTTTGTGAGTAAAATAATTGAACATAAACTCATGTTATTTAAACACAACAATTGTCACGTAATCCTTTACCAAATAGAAAAATCCTTCGACGTATTTTTTGCAAACGTTATAGTCCTGGCTTCCACGATGAAGAAAAATTTACTGTCAAAAGCAGCAGTAGATTTTTTAATATTATCATAAATGCGTTCAACAATGACGAAGATGTTATCGACATCAACTTCCAAACCTCCAATCGACCTTTTCTTTAATCTTTCCTTCTTTAAAAATGATTCAGATAACTTTACCAGCTTTTATATGTAAAATTTTTCAAGCTTGTTATTTTTATTTCCAAAGTTTTCTTTATGTTTCTCAACCCATTTTACAGTACTTTCGAAAAACCATTCAACAACCCACTCTTGAATGCCCGATTTGCTGCTTACCAAAATCCAAATTCAAGAAACAACATAATAACGAGCCACATCATCCACCACACTTTATCTGTATAGACTGTCATGAGCAAATTGTAGCCCATTTTTCTAAAACTGGACAAATTTTATGCCCCATTTGCCAAGTCCCAAATTATACCCAATCACTTTCATATTATTCCCCTTGTTGTTCATGCGATAGTATGGTTAAAAGCGCAAATTGGGGAAATACCCAGACCCAAAGTATGGCAAGCTATCAACATCTTACTGATTACCATCAAGGTATCACTATTTGTACAAGATGCCTCCCTAATACTGCAAAATTTTGTCCCTTATGCCACATCCCTTGGGATTTTTCCGACCCCTGGAATTGGAATTAATTCTCCACACTATACGATGCCCTTATACAATTCCTCTACACTCCTACATTTGGTAAGGCCTCACCCTTCAGTAATTCGCTCACAATTTATATATCTTTATAAACACAAAATATCCTTTAAACATGCTATATTATATACTATTTACCCCCCCCCCCCCCGGTTTTTTCTAGTCCCTTTTACCTATAAAAGGGGACCCCATGGTAAGCCTGTGGATGACCCGAGGTGGACATACATTTAAGATTAGGGGTTAATTAATGCCCAAATTTCCATTTTTTGCTTAAACTACATTTGCATTTTTGCTTTAAGTTTCATATCTGAGCTTAACTCAGTGTTGTAAAGTGCTTTATTCCTGTGGTTAATAAACACCATGATCGTTTTTCTTCATTTGTTTTCCGTGGTGGGTTTGTGTGAAGTCACAAGATCATATTTTCCACCTTTTATATATATACAATTTTACACTTTGTCCTTCATTGTTCAAACATTTGATAATTAGCCTTAATATCCGAATGTAATTCGGGATTTTGAATATTTGGTCATTTTATATTGATGTTTAGCAAAATGGAATATGACCCAATTTTAAACTGGAACTGCAGAAATGCAGACCCAGCACCAGAGGAGTTTAAACGAAAGCTGCCTCTCAGGCAGAAACAACGAAAACCTGTAGCAGTACAATCTTTGTCAATGGACGACGGGTTAAATAAGAACCCTCGGAATTTTCCCAGTTTGACTCAAAGATTGGAACTGCAGAAGTGCAGAAAAGCCAAATTGGATACGGAAAATCCAAAATTTATAACGAGTTTAAAGTACTCAATAAAGCAAAATTATAACAGATGGAAACTGCCATCGTTTATTAATTCAACGACAATGGAAAAGACGATGATGCCTATCGAGTTCATAACCCAGCAAGAAGTGGTTATGAAGAACGAAACCAACTTCTGGAAATTAAAGAAGAGGGAGGAACACGGCTACATCCTCAAGGCAGGAGGCACGCAAGTCACCATCCCGTTTGAGGGAATAACTGCCTTTCCGAACCATTTAAAAAACAAACAGGAAGAACAAGATGACATTCAAGAACTTACGGACGGAATGAGCAGACCGCGAATCAAGAACAAAATCAAAAAGAAGAAAATCGTGAAGTTGCAACAAAAACTCGAGGCTCCACAGAGGAAGATAGCGATCCTCAGATCATACAACGTGGAGCTAGAAGCCGGAAGGAAGCTCTAGATGAAACCTAACCTATCTTTATAACTTTTTCATTTGATGTTCTTTTTAAATTTTATAACTATAGTATTTAACCATTAAAGTGTTTAAATTTTCACCATGGTAACTGTAAGAATCGAACAGCTTAATTTTCTAAAAAAAGGGGTGAGTTGTAGTATTGAGAAATACTACACAGACAAAAGACCATTGTCCTAATTGTTTATTTAACGACCCAATCCTAAAATGGAGCGTGCCATTTAAATTAACGCCTCTTTTCACTAAATCAGATATTGACTGATTTACTCTTATTAGGACTATAAAATCTTGTTTTGAAAATCCACTCCTTTTTAAATACTTGTCCAATTTTTCTCATTTTTTCATGCTCAATATTTTAAAAGGGCGGCGATTATTAATACGTCCCTTTTAACTTAACTTGAAACAAACTGGATAAATAATTAGCAGTCTTGCCGGCTGCACTGAAATTCTCCTAGCTTTGATTAAGCAGAGATGCACCTGCAATATGATGCATCAGAGAGAGTAATATGAATTTTTAATCAGACAAACTGAAGGCTGCGGTTTTTATCAAAGAGGACTAATAAGTTAAAGATATTTGATTTGAAAAAATCAAATAAAAACTAGTTGAAAATTCCCTTATAAGAAAGGGAGAACAAAGGAGCAGGTGAAACCTGAATAATTAAAAGATTGAATCAGCCGCCGGTTTATGCTTACGAGCAAAAGGACTGGCCTGAAATCTTCAGTGTTTCATTTTGCTCAGTAAGCAGCAAGTTAGATCTCTTCAGTTAGACCTTTTCAAAAAATAAATAATTTTTCTTTTCTGCCTTTACAGTAAAATTAAACTAGCCTTTTTTCACAAAAAAATAGAGAATAAATTCTCATTTTAAGTTCGATAAAATTATAAATCGAGATACTCGAGATAACCACACCTGAGGAAGTCTGGACTACAAGTACCCAAAGGACTACGGCAAGACGAAACTGACAACCAAACCAGAAGTGCCAAGTGGACAAAATCAAGGGCAACCCAAGAAATACTACTCAGTCATCGACCTTAGTAAGAAGATAAAATATTGATGAACAAAATAAGATTAACTCAACCTCCCCTCATAGGTATATTTCTTTAAGCTGTTCGATTCGTTTATATAATCTAATTACCCAGTGCTTTGTATTTAACCAACTAATTAATTCATGCCTTTTCTAACTATTGTTTATACTCTACTTTTTGTCAAGACAATTTGACGATTTAAGGTGAGACTTATAACTTAGGATAAAATTACTAAGCATTCAACCAGCAATGAGCGCTCAGTAAAATACATACTGTTTTCGGTTTGCTAAATACGATTTAAATTATTTCAAAATATGCGCCTCAAGTCCAATCGACTCGCATTTATCAAGCAAAATACATTTTTTCAGGTTTTTGAAAGTGCACTGGGTTAAAATGGATTTATCTCTCTTATTAACAACTAGTTCCATTTAAATCATAAAAAATCGATGGAAAACGTTTGAAGGATGGACTTTTTGTTTATTCGCAGAAGAACCGAGGGCACATACTCTGATAGTAAAAAAACGTACAGCAAAGAATGCGCTTTAAAAAAACGGATACAGTAAAAAAAATTGTAAAATG